TTAACGTACGTACGAAGAGAGAGAGAGAGAGAGAGAGAGAGAGAGAGGGATTTTTCTCTCGTTAGCCGAAAGTTGAAAGAGTCTCGCGCGCGCACATTCGGCTGCGTTCCCACGGGAGGAGGTCCGGAGAGGTAGGAGAGCTGGATGGGTGGAACGTCCAGGAGGGGGAAGGGAGTGATATGCTCTGTGGTTCTGCGACCCACTGACCCGCTCGATAACGCTAGCACCGAGGTCAGTAACCTTACCCTACCGCAAAATTCTCCATCGTGCCGGCCCTTTTCGTTACGAGATACTCCGATTGCGAGATTATCTTTCCTCGAAACGTATCCCCCTCATCGATTCCCCTCTTTTCTCCCCCCCGAAGAAGAAGAAATTACGAACGAAAAAAAAAAAAAAAAGCTTCGACGAATTCTCGACTCTCCTCCTCCTCCTCCTCCTCCTCCTCCTCCTCCTTCTCCTCCCTCGGCAAAGCGACAAACAAGTTTCTCAACTTCGTCGAGGAACTACGGTCGTTTCAGCGCGACGGTATTGTTTCTTCCAATCGCGAAGGTCGGTGACCGGTTGGCCGCTCGATCATCGAAATACTTGGCAGCCGTCCATCGAGTCCACGCGCTGCCAACCTCGATCACAGTTTTCCTAGTTTTTCCCCCTCCTCAAGTAGAACAAGTTTTTCACCCTCGTAATGCATGCGATCGGGAGAAGAATCTCGAGTTCGCAATCCCAGCCCCCGTTATTGCGGTAATCTGTACAAATGGTCGCGTGAGAATTAACGTGACGCGGCGTGTCACGCGATAAACGAGATCCCGGTTCTGCCTCTCTCTCTCTTTCTCTCCGTGCTTCTTTTTCTCTCCATCTCTCGGAGAGAGAGAGAAAGAGAGAGTTTCGGTTAAGGGTGGAAGACCGCAGAAGATCGGCGGTACACGGTCGGCGATCTCGTTCCCAGCGATGATTCGAATCGGGTCACAGATACGGCGCAATACCGGTGTCCCCCTAGCATTTTTTTTCCTGCGTGTTGTAATATCGCGTTGCAAGGATTGCGACAGGCCAGACTCACGCACACCGAGTATTGATTTCGAGTCTCGGTGGCAGTGCTGCCACGATTCCGCGCCTCTAGAACTAAAGCCTGTGGATGAGAGCGCCGAGAAGATCGCTAAATACGCTTCGTTCCTTTTTTCCACCTTTTCGTTCGCTTTTCACGGGTTTATCGGGAATATCGAATTTCGTTGGTCGAAAACGATATTATTCCATTAGAACAGCTCGACAAACAAATTCAAACGCAGTTGTTATCGACGACGGTTTTGAAACAGAGTTTCGCTTGGTTTTCTTTTTAGATCGAGTCGCATCACGAGGTCGTCGAGGGCGGCTTACCTTCTTCGGATGCATCGCCTGAGGGCTGATTCAAAATGGCGTTCCTCTTTAACCGCGCATATTAACGAGGATGAATCTCTATGCGGAGTACAATTCTCTCGTAGTATAACGACACGTTCGACGAGATAACGAAACTTCGGAACTTCCTGCCCCTCCTCCCATGCGTGTTCTTCGGTTCACTTTTCGCTCGTTAATCGCATCGAGAGCGAATCGAAGATTCGAGGATCGATCCTTTATTCGCCGACCAACTAAAGAAATTCCCCTCTCGAAATTCTACCAAATATTATCGTTGGAATTCGTTTGTTTGGAACAGGTTTTTCGGCGCGTTTAGAAGCGCGCTGTTTCCCTCCACTCAAACACGATCTTTGCAAAAATAAACCGATTTCCTCGTATCCAATGCTCGATCGATGCCTGTTACGCGAGGTCGTAAAACTGAAAACTCGTGTTATTTCGGTGGAAGAAAGGACAGAAAGGATTTTTCGCCAGGCGTAGCGGAAGTACGGCGAACCACGTGGCCACGTTGATCCAACCTACTCGCTGCTTCCATTACCATTCGAGTCGCGTGCAAATATTATATTCAACCTTGGCGACAACCTATCGACATTTAATTTTTCCGCCAACGCGCGTTTCCGTAATACCCTATTTTTATCGTCGTTGTCGTCGAAGAAGACAAAGAGAAGGAGGAGGAGGAGGAGGAGGAGGAGGAGGAGGAGGCGAGCGTTTGCGACAACTCGTGTAAACGCAATTAGAGGAGACGCGGAGGAAAGCATTACGAAATCGCGCCGGGAGGGCAGCTTTCGTCACCTCGAGGATCTTAAGAACTTGTAACATTCGTAAGAATATGTACTCACTTTGCGTTCTTTGGCAGCGTGCCAGTCGTTGGGCCGGAGTGCGTAGGGGTGAGGCAGAGGGGCGGGTTGTTGGCGTTTTGAGGCACTAGAGGCTGCCTCGCGTGCGCCGGCGACGTATGCGAGCCGTAACCATCCGAATTCAGCTGGAAACAACGATTCCCCACACTTTCAGATCTCACGGAGATCTCAACAATTTCAACCCTATATTATATAGTAGGATAGGATTGAAACATTCCCCTCCTCTCCCCTTTAAAATAAATAATTTCCTATTTAAATCTATGAAATCTATCGTTGCAATTTACATTAACGAGGTTGATTGACAATTTGGACCGATGTTTAAAATGTAAAAAATCGGTGAGAAATGGAGGAGAGAATCCAGGATAGGTAGAAAAGCGGAAGAAAATGGGAGAGAGTGGTGCAAGTTGTGTCGTACCTTGACGACCGTGCCGATCAGCGAGTCGGGCGGCATTTCCGGGGGATCCGGTATCACCCCGGGGTTGGTGTGCGCGGGATAATCGGTGTGCAGATTGGGCTCCTTGACGGGTGTGCCGTCGAGTCGTTCCATGTCCAGGCTGTCCGTCGGTGTCGGCTGGGAGAGCAGGCGCTCCTTCATCTCGTGGAGATACGGACACCGCTGCATCTCTTGTTCAGAGTTGTTCCTCGGTCGATCTGCAAACGTATCGGCCCGATTAAACGGTGGAAACGTTTGTGACTATTTGTCAACGTCCTCGTCGATAGTCGATCCACGCGCCGCGTCTTTCTTTCGTAACCTCCGATATCTTTAATTACACGTCTCGTGAATAATGCATCGAAACCATTAGGTTATCGCTCGCTCGTCCTCGTTTCGATGTTTGTCCCACTCGACCAGACCTCTCCAACATCGAATATTCCCGCTGCTACATTCGGGAATCGTAGCGCCAAACGCTCCAAGATTATTTCCAGCCGAGTTAAACTCCTATTATTTACGCGGAACACAATCGCACCGTTTTCGAAAGAAGAACGCGTCTCTACCTTTTCTCCGTCTTCTCTCCGCTCCCTCGACAATTAGTCGTCCCAAGGCGAGTATCGAGCACATGTTCGTCGTGGCAATCGATAGAAGAAGAAGAAGAGCCGCGCGGGAGAAAGAGAGAGAGAGAGGCCGGTCGCCTAATCTCGGTTAGCCTTGAACTTACTCGGCTCGGTATCCATCTCGTGGTTGGCTTGGTCGCAAGGAAAAGGGAGAAATTGGAGGGCGAGATTTTCGACACGAAGATCGATCGCCGCGGGACGTAATCGGATCGACACTGGTTCTCAAAAGGGGAAGCTCGGTCGAGTCCGCTCGATCGCTCTCTCTCCCCGTGGCAGAGGATCGCCAAACATGGCGCTGCCGATCGAGTCGAGCCGTTCGTCACGTGCCGCGTTCATCTTTCCGCGCGGCCCCGCTTCGAGGAACTCGAGACGAGACGGGAAAGCGAATGAGAACCGCGCGCGTCGAAACCCGCTCTTTCCTTCTTGTTTTTTTTTTTTTTTTTTTCCTTTTTTTGTCGCGTCCTCATCGTGCGGGATTTTGCGTCGATTGCGTTACGGTGATCGCCGTCCTCGCTCCTTTTTTTTTTTTTTTTCAAATTACCAGACTAGAACTAGTTTCAAGTTTCTGCGTATACGCGGTGGTAGAGGCCTACAGTCGGTCGCAAAAGTTTACTTTCTTCGATTCTATTAATAGTTTGTCCGTTATCCACTTCGTCGGGTTGTGCAAGCTTGTTGTAACTTTTCGTTATTCGTTTTTTCTCTCTTCTTTCGAACTAGGCCTTAAAACAAATACCGCGAAACTTATAATTATCGAGGGGTGAAAAGGAGAAGGGAACGCTTGGGAGCTCGAGTATCACCGTTTTCTTAGATTTTTAAGATCAGAGAGATCCGGCAAATATTTATTTCGCCCATTGTTATTAGGCTGAGACCGAATTAGCAAACAGAGTGGAGGATATCGGTTTGAATTTTTAATATTTGCTCGCCGTTCGAATTATCGGTTCCCCGGATGGAAATGGCACGGTTTTCCCTCCGGTGAAAAGCTATCGATTCTCGAACGCGGCGTTAAATGGGTCATTGGACGCAGCGCTGGTAATTAGCTGGAGTGGCGAGTTTATGTAGCAGCGGGTTTGTTTCGCGTTTCGTAGATAGATGCGGCCCGTTCGATCCGAAAAATCAGATTTTTCAATTCACATATATATATATCGTATCGTTTTCGTTATCGATAGACATCACGCGATTAAATTGGGTCACTCGAGAATCGTTCTTCCATTCTTACGTTTCGATCCTACCCAATATATCCCCGACAGATCTAAATTTGGAATTTTCTTCTCGCAAGCAAAAAAAAAAAAAAAAGGGAAAGAGTGAAATAGTTGGAAGTCATCTCGCCTACGAATTCTCTCCTCCTTCTATATTTACGCCGTCATCGTTGCTCCACAAAGGGATAAATTATCGATTATCGAACGTTGTTGCGCGACTGGTTAACGGAAGCTGTTATTTATATCGGGCAGGGTATCGATGACACCGACGCGAATAACAAATAAGCTCGTTGAATAAAGCGGTCTCTCGCAATTATTGCTCGTCGAGAGCTATGTTCCGATGTTAATAATAATAATAATAATAACGAAAAGAAAGAAAAAAGAGAACGAACAATTCGTCTCGAGTCGAAACTCGAGTTTGCTTTGACGTAATTTTTCTCCCCCCCTCTCCTTTTCAAGAGAGCGCTTCAAACGGGACGTGACGCCACCTTCTCTTATTTTTAGTCGAAACTCCACGCGTTACCAATTCCTCCACTCGTTACCACGGTTCGAAGGAATTGGGCGAAGCATCGAAAGCCGAAGGATCGCGAAGCCGTTGTTGGTTCATTGACAACGGCCACGTGCGAATGTTTGCTCGCCGTCGCAAACTCGGAATAAATTATATAGCCGCGAGCGTGCCTTCGCGCTCGTTCCACGCATGCTAAACTATTTTCGCGACACGAATCTCGCATCCGCTCGCGGAGAAAATTACTCGCCCCCTTCCCACAATCGGGTCACCATTATTTTCGACTTCTCCCCCCTCCTCGACTTAAAGTTTACCCACCACGCTCGGAATCCGTGACGGCCGTAATTCGGATCGTAACAGAATAGAAACTGTGGAAACTGAGGCGATCGCAGGGAAACTCGTGAAACGAGTGAATGAAACGTGTGACGGATGAAGGGGCGCAATTACTGACCTACCTCGTGTCACGATATTCCGAGCGTATCTCGAGGAGAAGAAAATGGGAGAGAGAGAGAGAGAGAGGAGGGTGGCGGCGACCGACCGCAAGGTAAATACGCGGAAAGAGGAAACATCTAAGCGGAAGAAGAAGAAGAGGGCACACGAGAGAAAGATCTCGAGTCGCGACTCGAGAGATACTTCAACCATCTCTCTCCTCTTCTTTTCTTCGCGTGCAATTTTGAAACTCTTCCCGCACGGGCTGAAATTCGGACGAACTCTCCGTTCGATTCGGAGAGGAGGAATTAAGGGGTGGCGCGAGTGTACGACGAACCGGTGTACGTAGCGGTGGGTGCAAGGGGAATTCAACAAGTGCAGGGAACGGGGGGGAGATAAACGTTAGAATTGGAGGATACATCGAACGCGTTAAATTTTCACAGATATATAATATATATGGCGAGAAAGTGGAAAGAGAGTAGAGAAGCAACGAGAAGCCAAAGTAAAATGGGAAAATGGTTGGTTACCTGTGTGCGAGAAAGGCTGATACAGGATTCTAACGCGGACCCGCCGGCAGCTAGTTTGTTCCGCGATAACTGACCTATCGGAACGCGCGTCCGGATGACGCCGCGGCGTCGCGGTGCCCACTGCGAGCTCACGACGTTCCATTCGTTCTCTCGAGGGACGCGATCGCGAGTCGTGCTCCTTCTTCCCTCCTATTCTTGCACATCGCCGGCTATTATATATTTAGAAATCCGCGCTTCCTCGCCGTCACAAGCTTTGATCTCTCTCGTCTATCACTCCTCCTTCGTCCCACATATATATATATATATATATCTACTTTCCACCCCCTTTCTATTTTCGCCGCGCACTATTTTCCCTGCTTTTCCTGCTCCTTTCTATCCTCTCCTCGTGTTCCTCCGCGTACGTAACGTTCCCGTCTGTCCGCTATCTACTCGCGCGTCCCGTGAGCGGAACGGGAGAGGGACACGTGTGCGCACGTGTACGGGCCTGAGGCGTGTGACACGTGCGAGCCAGCTCGGCAAATGTGAAATTATTTCTGCCTTTTGCCACGTACCCCCTACCTGCCCTCTTCCCACGCTACCTTCTTTCCCCCTTCCTTCGTACCTGCCTTCGAACCACGCTTGCTCGCTCGTGAACCCGACCACGGCGTCGACGCCGATAACCGACGCTCGTCGCCGGCCATTCCGCGCGATTCACCGATCGCCTCTTACAGATCTCTCTTGTCACCCTCTCTCGCCCCCCTTCGCCTCCCTCCTCCTCATCGATCCACCGCCAATGGAACACACTTAGGGAGGAGATTTAATTTATACCCGTCGCTTTTTCACACGATTCGGATATTTTTTCCTTCCGTTTCTCGCCACCTCCCCCTGTTTTGCCCGCGCTTTCGATCCAACCCCGGATTAACGCGCGCACACGTCCTCCGTGGGCAGAGGGCGCGAGCATATGTTCCCGAGCATTTCTCTCGAGAGTTGTTCAAGAGATCGTGCATCCGATCGGAGGATAGAATTTCTTTTCATGCGTGTTGGATCGGAACGCCTCTTTTCTTCGGATGGACGCCTCATCGAGGGAATCGGATATCGATCGAAGCCATTATCGTACTCGAATTCTGAAGAAACGTCGCCAATTATCGTCGAAGAATATCCCGTGGAAATTGCTAATACAGGCGGTCGATTAATGCCCGATTAATTTCTTCCTCTCTCTCTCTCTC